AGCCACTGCTTGCTCACTAAAAATGTAAACAAACAAAAATGGCACTTACGGCAAAATTGCTTTTGCTCTAAATTCGTAACGGTGCTTTTTATGGCGCTGAAACTTTGAGGGATGGTGCGTGTGATGATAAATTATCCATTTTTATAAAAAAACCGAAATCGAAAATCATGGCTCATACGTCTTTTTTGCGCATACGACTCGATATCTCAATTTTTACTCGAGTTAACGTATGCACAGACGGACGGACGGACAGGTAGTCACCGCTTAATCGATTCTATTTATACCCGAGCGCACTTGTGCACAAGGGTATTATAACTTTGTTCACATAACGGTTGTTTGTAGCAGCATATACAAATGTATACATAAATGCTCAGGATGAAAAAAAGAACTCGATTAAGCGGTCTGTCAACAACAACAAAATTTTCAAAAATGGGCGTGGCACCGGTACATATAACTATATCGGTTTATCTGATTATGCCTAACTGAACGTTCTATCCAAGATGTTTGAAATAGGGGCAAAACACCCCCTGCTTACCATGTAGCGGTAGTTTTCGGAAAGGTGAAAAAGCTATCAGGCATGTTTTGCAAATAGTACGATTTCAAATCGGTGACATTTACAAAGTATATTTCGGAGGATTTATAACAAAGAGGGAAAAATTTGGCACTAAATCGGTGGATATAACGTAAATGATGTGTTTCAAACAGTTGCCATTTGCAACATTTAATACTTTGATTCCAAATATGCAACAATACTTTGCAAATCGCACCGATTTGAAATCGTATGATTTGCAGAACATGCGTGTATATTTAGTATTTGCGCCTGGTATTTAATGTTCGGTTCCTCCCGAACTTAGACTTTTTTACTTGTTTTTATCCTGATCATTTATGTACACATTTGTCTATTTATATCTATCTCGACTCGTTTTGGCTATTACAAACAACAGTTATGTGAACAAAGTTATATTACCCTTGTGCAAAAGTGTGCTCGGTTATAAAAAGAAAAAATTAATAAATAATAATAATAAGTTTTTAACAGAAAACATGTTTCACAAATAAAGCGAAAAATTGCACGTATTTCAAAATTTTCGTGTTTTAACACTTTTTTCTAAGGTACCCTTTTTCTAAACCCATATTACAGGGGGTTTTAACACAAAACACTATTTCCAACTGAAATTCTCCACCTCCATGATTTTGACAAATATGTAAGTGTATCAAACTTAATTAACATATTGTTTTCCCTCAATTTCAGGAATGGTTCATTAATTGTAAAGGAGCCTTTATGTCCAAAATCCAATTCTTACTTGCTGTCGGGAGAATATGTAACTGAAAATTTTTAGCAACCCTTTAGAAAGGTTCTATTGCATTATATAATTTTATCTTTCAAAGTTGACGATTAATAAGTAAATTGATAACTGTTATGTTGTACTTGCATTCATGTCACAATGAAACTAAGTGTGAGTGCGTATCGCGCACACGCATCAGCACACAAAAAAATTCTTTCGAGCGGTTACCATTCGCAACTCAATTACGGCAGCACAGGTGCGGCAGTCTCTTCTTCTGCTGTCTTGCAGATGGTAAAGATGAAAGGTTCCATTTTTATTTCTTTACGCAGTTATTCATGCAACCCGCCTTTTTATACTTTATATCCGCAGGCGGATCCCAACGAAGCCACGATGTCATTCGCCAAAGATCATCGAGCGGCCGATGGAAATAGTGATATGGATATAGTAAGTCCCTCCGGTACGAGTAGTTCCGGTCAGGAGCGCACGGGTGCTATAAGTAAATCTCAGCTACGAAGTGCTGACGACGATAACAGTACTATCATTTACTCCAATATCAAAAGCCCTGAACAAAGGTAAGTAAATAATTAAATGTTGTTATTTAGTTAACGAATTGCACAAGTTTGCAAGTATTACCATACAACTTGGAAAACTATGCTTAGTCGAATTGACGGTAAAATTTTCATACAGATTTCGGTTCTAAAAGCATTATTTCAGAGATTTCACCATTCAAATGAAGTATAAACTATGTACATAGCTTATTACCTTAAAGTTAAGAATAAGCGAATGTTATTTTAAAATGCATCAAATTTGAAATTATTTTTATGCCACTTTGCTCTCACGGCCTCAGTTATAATTTATTTCTGTAATATTTTTTTCCAACAGAAAATGTGAGAGATATTATCAAAGAAGCAAACAAACACAGAACAGAATAAATAATATCATTTCGGACCCTAATAAATAATATGTATCAAAAAAATAATATAAAAACCTCCAAATTAAATATAAGGGCTCAAATCACTTGTAATTCATAGTGCTGAATATTTATCTTGAAATATAGTTATTTTATTATATATACATTTGGGTCATAAATTCGCGACGAACGTGGCTCCGTCTAGTTAGCAACCCATCCAAACATTTCGGAAAAAACTACATACATATATGCCATCGATTGATCAGGATTGGTCACTAATTTTCATCGTTCTGTCATTAACCGTTCTAGTCAATTTTCAAGGACAGCTGCCCTCCTACATCTACATAACGAAGGAGAAATATTTAAAAATCAGTAAATAAAAAAATAAGGCGCGTGTAGCACCGTACATGTGATAGAAGTGAAAGTTTCTTAAAAAAGGTGTGAGTACCAGGTATGAATTAGGCGTTTGAGTTACATATACTGCGTTTATGCGTAGGCTAATTCACAAATTCCTTTCATGAATTTGGGCTAAAATTGGCTGCATAAACACCATTTCATGAAACGAAAGTTAACCATGAATTCGGCATCATTTTTTGAAATCGTGAAGTGCAAGTCTAGCAACGCCACGTTTCAGAAACAGCTGTTTACTAGGGTTATGATGTTTTTAGATTAAAAAGCATGAGTGGCATAAACAGTATTTACAACACTGGAAAAGTTACGTGGAATTATTGAAATATATAGGCTGCATTTCTTTATTCATTCTGAACGTTTGGAATAAGCTTTTTTGTTTATTTATTCTTTAGAACGTTCCTGATGATTTGTTGACGTATATTTCAAACGCATTCTGTTTATTCCGGCTGTGAAATGGGATTATCCGGAATGTATAAAGGAACGCAGCCATAATAAATTCAAATAGATTAAAATGAAAATATTTTAAAACCAATTTAAATATAATATGATTCATTTCCTGGTACCAACAGGTTTTTAAAACTCAAAAGGAGGCCAAAAAAGCCACAACCCCACTGCTTAGTTTCTCGCTAGTGCGTTGCCACTTTTTCAAAGCTCCTTATTTCATAAATTCGCGAACTATGCATAAACGGGACCAATTTTGAATTCATGAAATGAAGAATTCATGAACTCTGTCGCATAGACGTAGTAATACATAGGTTTGGTTAAACATTAAACATTAATTTCATTTCATTTTGCTGATATATAATTTGTTTATTAATTTTCCGGGAACACCACCTTATATGAATTCGCCCTGCTAGCATCCTTAGGACCGGGTTTATAATAGAAGTAACTGAACGGAGTGAACTATCTCTTAATTTAGTTTTTAATGCAATTTGTTTCGATTGTATCTGCTTCCAAGACGAATTCATACATTCGTATCACGAATTCATATATTCATGTGCTAGCAAGAGTAATAAAACATAAAATTACCTTATAAATTATATACACAATTATCACGTTTATGTGTAGTCCAATTCACGAAATCATTTCATGAATTTGAGTGCAAACTCAGTGCATAAACTCCATTTCGCGTATAATTGAAATCATGAAATGGTGTCCATGGACTAAGTTTCTAATCAAACGCATGAAATGGGTTCATTAATTGGCCTACGCATAATGGTAGTAAATGAATTACAACAAACACATAATATAGACATAATGCAAGCCTTAAACGTTGCGACCGTTGGTTCAGATCGATCCGCAATCAAGTTGGACGTTTTGCCCACAAACGTTGCAATCTGGAGCAAAACATCACCAAGTTGAACCAACGGTCGCTACGTTTATGGCTCTATTTAAAAAACCCCGGGGCACCGGGGAGAAAATTTCAACTGATCCTGTAACCCTACCTTATATGCCTTACTATCATCCTCACATACATATGTTCGTCAGAGTGTATCAACGCATACAAGGTGATAGCGGGAGCACAAAAACTGCTCTAACAAATTATATGCACAATGATAAGCATGAACAAATGTACAACAAACACATCATTTTTGACAATCAGTACAATTCGCATTGATATAAAGGAGCAGAGTTGCTAGCTCTAATTAGATATGTTTTCGTTTGTACTACCACAGAATAAACAGTATACAGAAGACGCACCACGTACAAATTTATTTATCTTCGGCGGACGTAATATTACAACCCGGACCTGTAGCTCGTTTCTGTAACTCTTCTCTACCGATTATTTCTCTACTGGTAGAGAATATATGTCATTCTCTACCAGCGTTGCCGCGCCCGAAACATAAAATTTAACAAAATCCTTCCAAAAGTTTAACAAACCCTGTTAAAGTTATGCAACTTATTTAACGGGTCTTAATAAAACGAAAAATGCTTTGAGTTACTGTTTGTTTCTTCCTGAGCTGCTAAATTGGTTATAGAAATAAAAAGTAAGAAAGTAAGTAAGTAAAGGCTATCTAAGACTGAGTTTTGTCGTCAAAAGTAAGGATTTTATAGTCTAACGCTAGGAGCACATTGCATCCGATAGGCCGACCGATTTCGGCCGAACAATTTGACCGTCCGAACTGATGCACACACTTAACCAGATTATTTGCCGACCGTATTTGTACACACAAATCTAGTTTTCATTACAATTTTGTAAGCAGTGAAATCATTTGATACATTTAAATTGACATTCTCTAAACATGTGATTTTATATGTAATTTTTTTGTTTTTGCACCCAATAAGTTAATTTTTCGCAGTCCATTTTGGTATTTTTCACCTGACATCGGACGAAAAAAGGAAACATGTTTGAATTTATCGTCACCGACGGACGTCAACGGCCGATGTCGGTTCGGTTATCGGTTTATGTTTGAGAGCGCTCGTATATTCACAAGGGGCCTGAGCACACTAGCCTGCTCAGTCGGACTGAGCAGTCCACCACTCGNAAAAAGGAAACATGTTTGAATTTATCGTCACCGACGGACGTCAACGGCCGATGTCGGTTCGGTTATCGGTTTATGTTTGAGAGCGCTCGTATATTCACAAGGGGCCTGAGCACACTAGCCTGCTCAGTCGGACTGAGCAGTCCACCACTCGAACGCACACTGGACTGGGCAGTCGGCCGAAAACAGGTTTCAGTTTTGTATACATGAACTACGCATGATTGTGTTAGTGCATGTGGCACATGCAAACAAAACGAAATAGAAAACATGTTGTCTATGTGTGCGTGTCAGTCCACCGTCAATCCGCGATTTTCGCGGATTGAAATGAGCGAGGTTAACTCGAACTCTCTTCCCCCTCTTATCCACACAAAACCGGTTTTAGGCGGACTGGGCAGTCCAGTGTGCGGAGGCCCATTCATATCGCCCGCATATAGCCGATATCGGCCGAGCACAATTCGGCCGATGCCGGCTGCAGTGTGCGCGTAGCATTACAGTTGCTTAATTTGAAAACTATTACACATTCTTTCAGTCTTTCAACACATAATTCTATAATTGTTAACTGCCCTTTCGCTAGTTTTTGGAATGCATGCAAGGTATATTTAACAAGATGGTGTTGGGGCGACAGCTGAGTTTTTCGCCGTGGAGAGCATTACGTCAAAAAGATGTGTTTGTTTTAACTTATACCAATGACAGTATGGATATCTGCGTATAATTTGTTAGTGTAATTTTTTACTTATATACGGCTAACACCACCTTGTTAAATACACCTTGAATGCATGCGAAAAACGAGTTTGGTATCATACTATCCATAATTTGCGTGTTTATCTATCACGCAAATGAAGGAACCTATGTCGCCTCCGAACGGCAAATGGTTTTTATAAAAAGCGATTTCATGGCAGAAGTACACACGGAGGTTTGAAACTGCGACGACTGCAGATCTGGATGACAGTCTTCCTAAAATAAATTTTAAAAATTTATTGAAATAGTAACTCTTCTGACTATGAATTTTTGAGGAAAATTATCCTTTTTTGACTATTTTAATAAACAAATTTAGCAAAACGAAGAAAAGTTTTACATTTTCCAAGACAGGAAAAAATTAATAAATTTTTCTTAAATTTAAGCAAAACGGCAACGCTGTTCACTACTACTCATCAGCAGTAGAGAATAGGGCGGCGAATTCATATCTCAATTCGCCTTGGTAGAGAATTGTTACCGAAACGAGCTACAGAGCAGAGAAGTTAACAATAATAATATTAATATTTTAATAGCATCAGTTTTAAAACGCAAAAAAGAATATTAAAAAATTTAATCTAATCAAAATCAAAACTTGACTCAAAATTTCGCAGTTGTCGCCATACGCAGCACAAATTATTGTACAATAACATAACCATGAGCAAAATATCAAAATAATTTTGAATTTAGCGCAATAACTGTGCAATTTAGTACAAAGAACCCCTTACACCACGCAGACGACCGACGCAAGCCCGATATTGCGCAATATGTTTGTGTGCGAAGAAATTCCGGGTTGTGTTTCCCTTATAAGAGTTACCAATTCAAACTTATAAATATCTATATTATAGTAGGTTATAAATTTACGGTTGCCTATTGTGAACTCGTTTAACTATTGTAAATAGCCTAACCATGGTGAACGTTTGTGGCGCTTGCATGTACATACAAACGAACGGTTGTTAATAAAATTCAATTGGCATCGACACGCAGAAGCAATCGGTTTAATCTATTTCGCGAAGAAGATATACTACAGCCTCAG